TGCATTTTATCCATCCATCCATCCATCCATCCATCCATCCAGATGTCACAAAATGTAATACATCAGAAAAATCAGTTTTAAGGACCAACATCTTGTATGATTAGATTTGTGCCTTTTTTATTCAAAGTTTATTGCAACTAAACCATTTGTGAAAACTATATATAAAACAGATTTCACAAAGTGCATCTTTCTCTTAAAATAATGTTTTCCAATTTATAAAAATAGCAGGGTCTCAGTCTGCCCAGGACCTCCTTTCTCTTTCCTATTTCCCTCTCTCTTCTACAGGTAGAAAGCAGGAGTGGAGTATTTCCTAGGAAAACCTGCTTATGGTGACACATCTGGTTCGCTGGCAATCACCTGAACTGTGGTTCAGACTTTGTATCTCTGATTACACAGCTGCTATTTAAAGCTAAGCCAGTCCTCTTCATAAGACGGCTGAACGCCACACATCCTGTGTGATGCTGACAGTGCTGACATTTGAATATTGTATATGATGTTGTGAAAACTCCTTCAAACTGTTTATAACAAAAAAAGTCAGTTTAATCATACTCACCTGAAAGAATTGTCCAAAGCTCTCTGCCTGGTCACAACCTGGACTCCAGGAATCTGTAGATAAAGGAAAATCAGTAAGAACATGTTTCTCTGGAAATGCTAACCCCTTAAATTCATAACCAAAGACATCTCACTAATCAAATTTAGCTACCTCCACAGACAACTCAATCGTGAACCGTTTGATCTTCTTTAGGTCTTTAATACTTTTATTTCCTTCTGTGGTCTCTTTCTGTTACCAGTAACATTGATCTTGAAAAAACAAAAAATGTTTTGCTATCATGACAGAATGGTCCAGTCAAAATACTAATCAGAACCCTACTAGTACAGAGACCGTGTGCTCCACTATGATATCACAGGGGATCATGCTGGGGCAAAACAAAAACATGTTGCAGAGACATTTTGAACAACAAAATGCACATGAAGAATATCAAGGCAAGATTTGTGTAAAGCTTGATCTCAAATGAGCTTAACTCCAACCCTATATTCAACCTTCTGCAGCTACTCACTAACTACAAGTTTTAACTTCATCCAATAAAGATATACCGTAGATGCTTCTTCAAACGTTTTTTTTTTTTAACTGAGTCAAACTGACGAGCATCCTTCATTACAAAAGGCTTTAGAATTTAAACTCATCACTTCAGAAATTTTAATGCTTATGTAACGATTTCTTACATTGTTGGAGCCTCATGAGGTAAAGTTATATGATGGTATGAGGCATAACTGCTCCCTCAGCCCATATATGGTATCAATGAGAAATAATTCAAATGAATTTGTGATAAAATAACATTTTTACACTGAAAACAAATGGGCAATTTATCTGAATATATCTAAACAACATAAACAACAACACGGCAGCATGTTGCCACAGTTAGTAGAGCTGTCTCTTCTCAGTGGAAAAAGTTGCCAGATCTAATTCCAGCCAGGGATCTTTCTGGGTGGAGTTTGCATGGTCCCTCCGTGCTGCATGGGTTTTCTCCAGGTACTTTGGTTTCCACCCACAGATCAAAAACATGCACATTAGGCTAACTGATACCTCTAAATTGTCCCTAAATGTTAGTGACAGTGTGAATGGTTTGAATTGTACTTGCCTATATACAGGAGATTATTACAACCTCATATAAAATCAATAATAATGATGATATCGGGACGTTATCGGCCGATATCCAGATTTAGGTATCGGGATCAGATCGGAAGTTAAAAAATGTGGATCGGTCCATCCCTACTTTCAACGCAATCGATAAAATATTCTCAACCAAGCAGGAGAACCCTCATGCCCCACTGAGAAGCACGCAGCGGGGTACGGCATGATCCGTGGGAAGTTTGGACGTTGACGCGCCTTTCCGTATTATCTCAGGAGGACACTGAAGATGTTTATATCATTGGAATCATGATAGCAGGCATGTGCGTATACCTATGTTATCAGCTATTAAAGAAGACGGTGGCAGCAGGTTTAGCCATGGCAAAGCTGCCGACCTTGTGTGAAAGACTTAGTTTGTGCTTCAAGCACTCAAAATCAGCTGATTTACGAGCTAAACCGTAAAATGGAAGCAATTTGTGAGAATCGCAGGCCACTAGCGGCTTCTGGGATTTGCTGGCATGTTGGGGACGACCTTGGAGGGAGCTAATAAGCACAAACCAGTGGAATACCCTCAAATCTGGTCATTTTGAATCATCGAAGTACCAGCAGAACACAAGGCTGACGAGGAATAACAGTCTGCCTGAAAAAAAAAACAACTGTGGCTTATCTTAATCGGACTCCCCCGTTCGGCCTTGAAGCAGCCCAACATCCTATTTCTCCTGGGATATGTGTAAACTAAGAAGGCTCTGTCTATCACACCCGCACCCCCCAAGAACTTCTGTGAATGCTTATCAGAGCTATACCGGCTGACACCAACTTCTTAACAGGACTATGGTGCTATATGGACAAATCTCACATAATGAGATCATGTAATGTGTCTATAAATGGCTTGCTGGTAGAATTTTTTGACGTCTTAAATTGTGTCCTGATAAGGATAAGGTTTGAAGAGATCTTTTTTTGTAATACCACTATCCTCTCCTCATGGCCCTTTCCTCTTTTCTATCTAAAAGAACAAGGGGCCGCTCTCTTAGGATCAGCAGCAGCGTGCACTCCACCCATCTTTTGGACGACTGTACAAACACAATCTCACTGTACTTTGGTGCAATGATAATAAAATTTATTCTGATTCTGATTTTGATGTTCCAGCAGTGAGAAACTGGAACACAGGGCCATAAATACTGAGTCTCGTCAGTAGAATCAGGAACAGCTGGCGATCACTAATGCTGCTCTGCCACTCAGGAAGCTGCAAAGTGTGATTAGTGAACAGGAAAGTAACAATCCCCACAGGGTGCACCCCCTGAATCTCGTACAGTGACTCATGTACATAGTCTCCAGAGAGCCCCACAACCCCAAAAGGAAGAAGCCGGTAAAGATAATGGATAGATGGAAATAATAATGCAAAATATTTTACAAAGAAGTGTCTAAGAATACATCCAACAAAACGTTTTTCTACGTGGATATTGTCAAACCTTTTGTTCTTGTGGATTTTAATCAGAAGAACATGTCCAAACTAGGATTGTAAATACAAATTGATTTTAAATAAAGATAATCAGAATAATAATAATAATAAAAATTACAATAGCTGAAAGGAAGCATGACTTCGCATCCAATATGAAAAGCTTTGATAAATTTGTTACCCTTGATAAAAATGTATTATAAGATGTCAAATTTTATTTTTCTACATCTATTTTGAAAACCCTCACCATTACTTGGTGCTCTAGAAGTAAATGCAATATGGAGCTGATGAAGCCTTCTGGATGGAGGGTGAAACGTCTCAGCACATAAAAAAAATAAACTGTCCAGATGACCTGACTGAACATTGTTGGATTTTATACCTGGATTATTGAGCATGAACTTTGGTGCAATATGGAGCTGCTTTTCTTTTGATCTTTCTGGATCTGTCCTGGTTTTTCATGATCCTGTTTCAGTTGAACTTTGTGTAATGAAAGAAAAGAGAAAATTAAATGTATTTAAAAAATATGACGCTAAGAAGATCTTTGACCAAGTTGTTCTGTCTCTGTAGTTTGATGCGTTGATGATGAGGATGGTCTTGCCACAAATAGGCACAGCATGCATTTCAGCTTATTTTAGTGTCGCTGGAGAAAAATAAAACTTTCCAAAGCTTATCTGGAGTAGTGTAGACAGAATAACGCCTACATTTTTAGTTGCATTACATTTAATGTGTGCACTATGTAAAAAAATAAAACTATAATGAAAACAAAACCTACTGAACAATTTATATTGCATGTTGTCGCAAAGATGAAAACATTGTTTTGGAGTCCAACAAAGTTAAGTCAGGCCTTCTGGACCATTTCTTTTTTTGTAGAAACGTTTCATTTTTCATCCAAAGGACTTCATCAGTCTGATGACAGTCCCAGAAGTAGCACACACACATAGTGCAACCAGTTTGATGGTGATAAGATGGTTTCTGGAGTCCCCCTCCCCTCCGCTGATTCCTCCGAGGCAGCCAAAGTGTTTCATAACCAAAGTCTTGAAAGTGATGAAGTCTTTTGGATGACAAAACAATTTCAATACAGAGAAACCGTCTAGAGGACTTGACTTTACTTTGCTGGATTTTTTTTAACCTGGATTATTGAGCATGAACTTTAATTGTTTTGGAGTATTTAGAAAACGTGCTCAATTCCCTCAATTTTTTTCTCCCTGAGAGGCGGCAGCTCTATCAGCTGCGCCACTATGTCGCCTCTGACAGAAACTCATCATAAAAAACAATAAAATAAAACAAAGTTGAATTGAAACAGTATAATTTTGTCTGTTACTTTACACTATAATTCTATTTTATTCATGTTAAAGTTCACTTTACATTTTGATTTACTTCCACTTAGTCTTTTTTTTTTTTTTACTTTTTATTTGTAGTTTGGGTCAACACAACTTCTACCTGCTTAGTCCTGTTCAGGGTCACAAGGTGAGTGGGCACTGGAATTTATCTCTAGCAGCCAGAAAGGTAGAGATGCATCCAGGACGTGTTAGGTGTCCAGTACAGTTGCTCCGTCCACTGCTGGTTAATATTTAAACTGCAGCGGAGGAGTTGAAGATGTCCTCAGGGACATCGGCCTCTGATAGGCCAGCGGTGCTTCTGCTGACTCAGACACACAAACAGGTGATTTCACTGACGCACAAATGCCACTGGTAACTCCTTTTATCAATTTGATCAAGTCTGACTTTGGGATGTTTTAAGTTTATTCATCCATCACTGGACTACCATGACTTACGATCCCACCAGTCCGACTGAAGTTTTAAGCAAATGTTAAATTTACACTGAATGTGTAAACAAAAATTGTGGGAAAAAAAACTTAATCAGACATAAAAATTATTTTGTGTAAATTTTTATTTTTAATTTTTTTGGTGTAAAATGGACAGCGGACTCACTCGTTTTAAAAATCAGCTTCTCCATGTGGACATTTACATTGATGAACTTGAACCTCGGACAGGAATTTTTAACCTTCTGAGCAGACTTCGTCCTCACTGGAAGACGCAGGACATTCAGATGAAGGTATGACAACACCTGGCTATGTTGGTTTGAATTAGAGATTCATGATCATGGTAATAAAACTAGCATTTTAGGTTGCATATCACCTTGCAGTTAAAGTACTTATATAAAAGATCTTGTGCAGCCTAAGCTCTCATAGTATACGACTCAGTTACTACCATCCTACATTTTAACTCAGTATTTATAAAAAATGGATGAGTTACAGCCATCTTGAAGCAAAAAAACATCAATGGTAATTATCTGTAGCTGCTAATCCATTGATTACTTTGAGTTTCAATAAAATATGTCTCCTGGTTCACAATAAAATTTGCTTATCGCCAACACACAAGGAGATACAGGGAATTACGTGAGTGAGTTCCAATCTTGGTTGCAGGAATTAAAAATAAATTAATGACATTGATCGTTAGTATTCTCATTGGCTAGAAGAAATGCTTTTAAGCTTAAAATTTAATATGTAATTTCAAATTTGTGATTAAAATTGTAGCAAAACTTGGAAATTTCCTCTGTTCGGTCCTTTAAAATATATCAGAAATGTTACTAAAATATAATTCAATCAAGTCTGATAATTGTTTACAGCTATATATTTATCTTTTTTTAGGTTGACTGTTGAATTTATCTTAAAGCATAGATCAATTTGGATATTGCATAATATGAAATTATGATTATTCAACAAAAGCATAAATCTATAACAATCATTTTGTTGCTAAATCGCCTTAATTATTAAGTAATTGTCCTTAGAATATGTCTGCCAAAATTCAGGCCCTGTTTATACGACAACAATCCAATGAAAACTGAATGTTTTTCCCATTTCCATTAACACATTTACGTGAAAACGTTCTAATTCCAATCTCTGTTTACACAGATGTGTAAAGGATGTAATTCCCCCACCACGCCACTAGATGGTGCTACGTTCTTTGAAACTTGAAACGCTAAGTGTGCATGCGTAAAAAAAAAAAAAACGTTTTAAATGTTCTAATGTTTATCTCATAAGAATAACAGCATAACAAAAGCCCAGGTGATGTCCAAACTGAAAGCAGTCTGGGGAAATTAGATTTATAGATTTATAAGAGTCAGAAGCGCAAACAATACTCTGGCATTGGCGATAGGCCTGTCACGATAACAATTTTTGCTGGGCGATTAATTGTCTCAGAAATTATTGCGATAAACAATAATTTTATTTGAAATTTGACACTAATGGATAATTATTGTCAAATTTAAGAAGAATTTTTTTATTTGTTTTGCTTGTACCTTTTTGACCACCGGATGGCAGTATAAGACTGTTTGAACTGAAGGATAGTGAGGGAGCGAGCGCTGTCTCATTAAGAAAAATGGGAGGGAGGCCCCTTGACGTGACATGGGTTGTCTCTCTTCAGTTCTTAAAATGGCAGACGCTCGATGTGGTTTGAGCTCTTTAGCAAAGCATTTTTCACACAAAGCTTTTAATAAATAAAAAAAATCAGTAAACAAGTTCTCAGCTTCTTTTTGCAAATAATTTTTTTTTTTTTACACAAAGGCACGGGTTTCAACCATGAATTTTGGAGCTTCAACAAGACGGAGGTTTTTTCCCCGAGGTCGGCCTGTTAGCTAGTAGCTCGTATCTTCTCAGCTTAGCTGCTTTTAATAATCCAAAAACTCGATTGTGGATAGTTAAAATTGATTTTAAAAGAGAAAAGAGAAAGGGAGGGGTCAGTGAAGAACACCGGAGTTGAGCTTTTTGTCATCCAGTGTCTTCAGTAGAAAGAGAGAGACGCAAAAGCAATAAAGGCGATAAATCAAAATGAGGTTGATCATTTTCATTCATTATGCGATTAATTGATTTATTGCGACAAGCCTAATTGTTGATAGTTTCTTCTTCTGCGGATTGCAGAAAGCCATTATGTTTGTGTCATACTGCACATGAGCCAGGGATTCCCTGCCAGAAAAGATCTATTTTTTCTGTTTACACAACGGACACCGGGACGTTTTTGAACCGTTGCACTCTGGAACCCGTTCTCAAATTGTGCCGTTGTCAGACGAAACATTCGCTATTTTTGTGTAAATGAACAGTAGAAACAGCACGAAATTCTTCCATTTTCACCAGAAATTGTTTGTGTAAACAGGGCCATAGGCACATTTTTCACAGGTCATCGACACAGCTGACAGGATACTGTAGAAATACGCACGCACATTACAAGGTCATATGTTATTAAAAACTAGCATTAAACATGTGGTTTAGAAATCATTCAACAAAGTTAAGTCGGGTCTTCTGGACAGATTCAATAAATAAATAAATAATTAAGAACTTTTTGAACATTCAACAAAGTCCATGCTCACTAATCCAGGTATACAATCCAACATTTTTCAGTCAGGTCATTTGGACAGTTTCTTTTTTTGTGCTGAAACGTTTCGCCTTCGATCCAGAAGGCTTCATCAGTCAGACAGAAAAATGCTGGGTTTTTGAACATTTGTTTTCAAAAACGTTTTATTTTTTTTAAATTAACACTATATTAAAGTATTCAATGTCTTGCCCAGAGACACTTAACATGTGGCTGTTGGTGGAGTCGAACCCCCAACTGTCCCAGGAGGACGACTGCTCTAACCACTCATCCACAGCTGCCCTGATTTATAAAGAAGTCGTCTCAGGGCACTGTACAAAAAACTTTCCATACTTCATCAAAGCCAACAGGTATACAGATAGAAGTGTTTGAAGCCAGACGTCGAGTAGCTTGTTTTTTTTGTTTTGTGTCATTAGTTATGTTGTAATTTTTCATGTTAACTGTATTTTATCTTTTGTAGTTGCGTCCTGCAGTGGTTGAAACAGTTTTTGTGGGTTTGCTTGGACTATTATTATTATTTTTGCCATATTTTCCCCCTGGTTTTGTAATGTAAGTGAAGATAAGATAATTAATGATCTAAAACACGCTCTGACATTGTCCAGGCAGGGTTTGATTCAGCAGCTTTCTTTGGCTTATCTCAATACATAACTTATACAACTCCCTACAAAAAGTTTCTGTTTTTCACTTGACAGAAAATGAAGCCAAAGGAATAAAATGTTCTCCCTGAAAATATTAAAATAAAATAACAAGTTTTTTCAAGAACACAAGTGATTTAAGACAAACTGAGTGACTGCTCACTACGCTTGATTGAAACTGCTACAAGTAAATAAATATAAAATGAGACCTGTAAATGTGAAATGTTAAAACTAGAACTGTTTATTCAGCTTATGACGGCTATATTCATGGATTTCACTGTTAACTGTTACATAAAAAGTATTTGCACATTATTAAAATGCTCATTTTTTCCCACAGTGAAATTACATTTTAAAAATGAAATTATGCATGATAAGACACAGTGTGTGGTGCTATAAAATCATCATAAACTACAACCAAAGGATAACTGAACATGAAAAGAAAAATTTGGAACAGCTTTTTGGTTTTTATAAAACATCTATGACCCTAGACTAGGCTCATGTGCAAACACAAAGTCCAATTTTTCTGAGAAATAGGGTTTATGTTTGTGAGGTGACTGTACATTGGGTGGGTGACCTCTCAATCTGCACCAGGTCCAGCAGTGTACACAGAGGAGTTTATGTTTTTTTTCCTCTTCAGTCTCAAAATTCACATAAATGAAGCATTGTGTTCGTCAGGTGAAGGACAGACAGTTCCTGATGTCACACCGGTGATTTGAACTGAGCTCTGTAGTCTGTGAAATGTCCTATTTGTCTTTTTTCTTTGAAAGACTATCATCAATCAACCTTTATTTATACAGGTAAATCCCATTGAGCCTCAAGGACTCATTTACAAGAGAGACCTGATAAATCATACTGATACCTGATCATGATACTACAAAGTAGATAATGTTACAATATGTAAACAAAAATCTGCCAAAATGTGGATATTCTTTGGTGGATCTTGATGGAGTCTTCAGGAGCATAGCAAATGGTTCCTCACTGGGCTGCGACTGGGTGGTGAAAGACATTTTCGATGGAGACTGAATGAACATTTTGCGATTAATTTACTCGCAAGCGTCTCAGAGACGTGACTCACTCAATGTGGAGAGAGCTGCCACGGTGGGTACAAAGCAAGCCAAAGTGAGTCCAGAGTGGATGTGAACAAGAAAATGATGAGTATTAGTAAGAATACTGTTTTGCAAACCAGGCATAAAAAATCAGGTGGTGATTTTCAAGAACTGGTCGTTGAAAATGGGATCATGTAACCTGCTGGTCTTTTGCCACAAATACTCAAAACTGGGTAAGACTATAATGGAAATGGGGATATTAGTCATGGCACAGTGGCTCAGTTGGTAGAGCTGTTGCTTCTCAGCCAGACTGGTTCCTGGGCGGGGACCTTTCTGGTTCTCTCCGTGCATACGTGGGTTTTCTCCGGGTACTCCAGTTTCCTCCCACTTACCAAAAACGTGCATGTTAGTCTGATTGTTAACTCTAAATTGTTCCTAGGTGTGTGTGAGAATGAATGGTTGTTTGTCTCGTTTGTCTCTATGTGTAGCTGTGATGGACTGGAGACCTGTCCAGGGTGTCCCCCGCCTCTCGCACAGTGACACAGTTGGATGTGGGCACCAATAAAGGAAGAAGTGATTAAAGTTAATGGATGGATGGATGTAATGAAAATCTGTTTATGATCTCACAACTTTTATGAAGTTTTGAGTCAACTTTCTGCAGTTACTACTCAGTTAAATACAACTTTAGGAAAGTCATAGACTCCACAAAACGTGAAAAATGTCCGACTTTTTTGGGTGATGGTTTATTTTCATAGTCCCAGTCTATTGAGGTCCTGGACGGAGCATGGGGGCATGTCCTGGCAGCATATTCTTGACACAGTGGCTGTGCACACCCTCATGACTTGGTTGTTGAGAATTTGAAGCAGGATTAATGTCTTGGCTATGTCCCAAGCATGCCCACACACATTATGATAACGGTGAACTAGCATCACATGATTTTCTAGTAGTTTGCACCAAGAGAGTCGTCCCAGTGTGAGGCTTGGTCCAAGGTGTAACTGTAGATGTATGTAATGGTAATGTTGTGGTAACATGCTGCTGATATATAGAGTATGGTCAGCCTTTAGTCTCAGAGACCTTACTTTGTAAGTACTAAGCACGGCAGCATCATGTTCGCCCTTATGCCAAAGAAGGTTTTTCAAATTTTCTGTGATTCAGCCACATTAATGGGTATTGAAGAGGGAAGCAACATGGAGCTGTGGTTAGATCTGTAGCCTCACAAAAAAAGGTCACAGGTTCAACTCCTTCCTGGGACCTTTATATGTTGAGTTTGCATGCTCTCCATATTCATGTGTGCATTTTGTCTGGATACCGGTACTCGGGTTTCTTCCCACAGACCAAAGACATGCATGTTATGTTAATTAGTAACTCTAAATTGTGCCTAGGTGTGAGTGAGAGAGTGAATGGTTGTTTGTCTTGTTTGTCTCTATGTGGCTCTGTAATGGACTGGAGACCTGTCCAGGGTGTATTTCGCCATTTTCCCATTGAATGCTGGAAATACACCAGCTCCACCATGACTCAATGAAAAATCAAGCAGAGAAACTGGATGAATGGATGGCAGTCATGGATACCACAGTGGTGGCATCATCCACTGTGAAGGATGCTATACCTTGAATGAAGGAAACAAATACAATTAAAAAACTCATCTGAAATTATCTCAATATAACTGATTAGATTTTAACATAAATTAATTTTACATGTAGTTTATTAAAGTTCCAAAGGTTTACCTAAAGTAGAATAACAAAACCACAAAGCATAAATATTTTATTACTTTTTTCTTTTTCACATTATAATCTGCTCCACTGATACTTTATTTTGATAATACAATATAGTAACAGTTAATAAATTAGGGAAAAGATGTTAAAAGAACAATAGACATAAAAAATGGGATAAAAAAAGGAAACTAAACACAATATTAAACCAACTCCACAGTCCTTTATAAATAATAAATCAAATGTCAAGGTGGCCATGTTTGTTCAGTCTATCTAGATGAGAAGCTGTTGTGTTCAGATCCCATCTGAAACTGAGGAAATACCTAAGGGATTGTGGCTCAGAATGAGAAATCGCTGAATGACAACAAATGTCACAGAGAGCCTTTGCAGAAAAACAGTGATCACTGTGGCCTGCTAATATGACTGTTCCTTCTCAGGAAACTTCAAACGACAACAAATATTTAGTACTGCCACTGATCATTTGTCCATGTAGACTGAAGTAATAGGTGTGCCATAGCACATTAGTTGAGTTATCCAAACAAAAGTCAGTGACTCCGTGGATTGGTTGACCTATCCCGCAAGCTTTAATTTGCAGTCAATGACAGAACATGCAGTTCATCCTCACAAGCATGATCATTTTTATATTATCAGTGTTTCATTTTGAACATTTATATTGTAAAGATAACTTGTAAGTCTTAGAAGTTGAAGTTTCAGGATGTTATTGTAGGGATTGTTACTTTCCTGCTCACTAATCACTCTTTGCAGCTTCCTGAGTGGCAGTGCAGCATTAGTGATCACCAGCTGTTCTTGATTCTGGCAGATGAGACCCGGTATTTAAGGCCATGTGTTCCTGTTTCTCACTGCTGGAACTTTTCATGTCATTCGTTTCTGGTTCCTCTTCTTTGATACCCTATCCCAGACTGCACAGATGTATGAAACACTGCAGATAGCTACTGAAAACTGCAAGAAATGGACAAACCAGAATAAATGAAACAAGCTACTTCTTGGACAAGATTCTGTTGCATCTTAGTAATTTTTCTATGATGATTTTACAATGTATTAATGATGAGTTTTGTTTGTTGAGTTAATGGTGGTCCTTTTGCATTGTGCTGGTACTTTATGCAATCATACAGTAACCCTTAAACTTTATTTTCCTTCCAGGCATTTACAGAAGGCATCACCAACCAGTTGATTGGCTGCTTTGTGGGCTCACTCCAGGAGCCCGGCTGTGTTCTAGTGCGGTTGTACGGCAGAATGACAGAGCTCTATGTGAACCGGGATCAAGAGGTGGAGATGTTCCAGGTCTTCCACGCCCATGGCTGTGCTCCTGAGATCTATTGCAGCTTCCAGAATGGCATCTGCTATGAGTTTGTCAGGGGAACAGTGCTGGATGATGAGCTACTCCGACAACCCTCCATCTACAGGTCTCTCCAATAAGAACTATTCAAACTGTTCCTGAAATCATCAGAAGTCATTTGAGCAGAAACTGGGTGAAAGGAGTTTGTTCTTTTGGGGGGGGATTTCTTGATTTGCATTGTTACAATTTGTACAAATTATGGACTGGAAATAGACTTGTTTATACAACTAAATGCTTTTCTTTCTCATCCACTTCACTCTGTCTTCTGCATTCTCTATTTTCACTCCAATTACCTCCATGTCCTCTTTAAATGTATCTTTATATCTACTCTTTGAACTTTTTCTTTGTCTTTTTTCTGGTGTCTGCATTTTTAACATCCTTCTAATATACCTACTATCCCTCCGCTGGACATTTCTAAACCATTAACACATTTTCTGGCCTCTCCAATGGTGTTTTTCAGTTGTTCAACCCTTGCAGTAACTCTATTGATCTCATTCCTAATCATATCCATCCTTGTCACTCCCAAGGAGACTCTCACCATCTTTAGCTCGGCCACTTTCACTTCTGTCTCTTGTCTTTTTGTCAAAGACAAGTGGAGCAGCACTGCTAAGGACCATCCACTCGATCCTGCCTGAACCCATGCCTTTACCTTTTTACCACACTCCCTGATTTCCAGGACCATTAACCCTAAGTACTTGAAGTCCAGGATCTTTGTGATCTTTGCAACTTGTAGTCTCACTGTTCCACCTGCTAATTCTCATAGATGCATGCTCTGTATTGCCACAACAGACTTTCATTCATTTTCTTTCAAGTGCATACCACTACCTCTCCATGTTCATTTTATTTTTAGTTCCATTCTCACTATAGATCACAATGTCATCTAAAACAACATAGTCCATGGGGATTCTTGCCTGACCTCATGTTTTAATCGGTCCATCACCAGAGCAAATAAGAAGCGGCTCAGAGCTGATCCTTGATGCACTCCCATCTCCACCTTGAAGCTATCTGTCACTCCTACAGCACATCTCACCATGTCCTGCTGTCCTCAAGTCCTGTACCAGTCTAACATACTTCTCTGCTACTCCAGATTTTTTCATACAACACCAAAGCTCCTCTCTTGGCACCCTGTCATATGAAATTATTTCTGACCCTTTCAGTACTTCAACAGCATCCTCAAAGCAAAGATGGCATCTGTGGTGCTCTTTCTTGGCATGAAACCAAACTGCTGCTCACAGTCACCTCTCGTCTGTCTTGCTTCCACAACTCTCTCCCAAGTCTTCATTGTGTAACTCATCAACTTAATTCCCCTGTAGTTGTTACAACTCTACATCACCCTTGTTCTTAAAAATGGCCACCAGCACACTTCTTTGCCATTTCTCAAGCATTTTCTCACCCTCAAATATGCCATTGAATATTTGGAGAGATGACAGTGAGGTTTTTGACTCAAGACATTTTCATACCTCCACTAGTATGTCATCAGGTCCGACTGCCTTCCCCTTCATTCGTCCCAAAGCTTTCCGGAATTCAGTCTCACTAATCTTTCTCACTTCCAGGTCCACAGTTTCTAGGACCTCTACTCTTCTTTTTTTTTCATTGTCTTCATTCATTAGCTCCTCAAAGTACTCCTTCCATCTTCCCATCACACTTTCCTCACTTGTTTGAACATTACCATTCATATCTTTAACAAGCCTAACCTGCTGCACATCCTTTCCAGCCTGATCCCTCTCTTACTCCCTCTGCATCTTAAACTTTGCAAAAGATACTTTTAACAATGACCTTTTGATTTTTAACAATCAAACTTTTCTGCACTAAAATCTGCAACATGGCTAAACATGTATTTTAGATTCATAAGGATAATAGTAGTTTTGATGGTTTAAAGCAAATATTTGTTTCTTCCCCAAAGATCCTCAATAATTTTCTGACCAAACACATTTCCACTGTCTTATCATTGGGATTAACCTTTATAAATAAAGAGCATGCATCAGGATATTTATAAATAAAGGTTAAATGGAAAAAATGATCCAACCTAGATGCCTCTGAAGTCAAAGAAGTTGCTGCTGACTCTGGATAAATCATTTTTCTTTATCAGTATCCAAGTAGCCTTTCACAAATATGAAGTTGGTTTTCTTATGCTTGACAAACGTACATTAGTTTTGTCTTGCCCCTATTATCCTTAAATAATAGTTTTGATATTCCTGTTTTAGGAATACGATTATGCATATGAAATTTAGTTTAACACGTTTTTCTTTTACACATAGAAATGCCAAATAAATGGCAATTCTTATGTTTTTTTATTATGCTTTAAATAGTTAATTTTTGCACTTTGTGTACAAAATGGAGAACCGCTTTTCATTTTTGTTCTGTCAGAAAATAAAGTTTTTGTGAAAATTGCTTTTGTACGAAACCAAAACTAACACTTGCCTACCAACATCATCTGTTTTAGGTAACAAGGTTACCAACTAAACATGTTGTGATGTTTATGAAATATATTGTAGGCCTAAATGTTTTTTTAATAAATCATAAGTTAACAAGTAAAAATCACAGAAATGAAAAATTTACATAACATCTAAATGCCTTTTGACTCCAGTTCAATTTGAGCTTCAAACTAAAATATCCTGCCACCAAGTTTTTTTAAATAAAGTTTTACTGAAAAAGACAATCTAATCTTCTATTTAACATGTATTATTTATATACAAAATAAAGAACACTATTGTATATTTATCTGCCAATTTATTTGCACAATAAATTGCCAATATTTTATGTTATAATGACTAAGATTCAAAACGATCTGATATTTCAGCAAGTTAATAAAAAGCAACAATATGCAATAAAGATTATATATATATATATATATATATATATATATATATATAGTAATTCAGTTAGATTACTTTGATGTCAAATTTAAATGACAATCAAATCAGTCAAAATAAATGGTTTCTCCTAGTCATGAGGAGCTTTGTGTAAGAAGATTTTATGAATTACTAGAAGTTCATTGACTTTGCGTGGTAAAAAAAAAAACATCTTCTGTTGATTGTTGGAGGTCAAGTGCACACGCTTTATTTGTTCATTTCATGTCTTTTGTGTTGACAAACGCGTTTTCCTATAACTTTATCTGATTCTCTTTTCATGTTGAGAAATGTTTGTTCATGCCCCCTTTGTCAGCCATTACTCTTATGTAACAAGTCAGTGTTGTTACTCACAGGAGGACACAACACAGTCGGTCAAGGCTGAGCAACCAGGGCCACGAAATGCATTAATCACTCCTCTTGGTCTTGTAAAATCAGTAACAAAAACCCACAGCACTTTATGTCATTGCTGATATGCTTCAAGAACAAAAAAAGCAACCCTTTTGGTTGAAAGGTCACATATGCAGGGAGCAAAATAAGCATGTTAAATGGAAAGGGAGTTGTGCTCCTGCTCTGATAATGGTTGTTTGTGCAATAACATCATTGGCTGGAGTCGTCTGAGAAAATGTCTTCTCTCTGCAGATTGATCGCAGCCGAGATGGGAAAAATCCACTCCATCAAGCCAAAACGTGGCGTGCCAGCTGAACCTCTGCTCTGGACTAAAATGTCCCACTTTCTCAAACTGGTACAGACAAACATAAACATCGGCCCAGCAGAGCACTGGAGCACCGTAAGGTAAAATGTAAACCATGGAAAAAAAAATGTCTCTGAAATCAGCACAATCAAAAATACAATAACATTTTTTGTAAAATAATAACTTCTATGGTTTATTGAGATGTGCGACTTACAAAATAAATAATAATAAATGGTGGTTGAGAAGAACCAAACTGTTTTAATAACTAAACTTAATCAGGCAGAAAGACATGATTATGTTTAGATGAGGATCGGACAATAAATAGGATAAAATCAACAGTCTAAGTTCTGGAGAAGAGGCTGAATGGAAGATGTGAGCATGGACTAACAATGGGAAACAGATGTGAGAAAAGCTAAGATCGCTGAGGAAAACAATAGTTAAGAATAACATGATCTGACCTCAGTAAAACTAAAGCCCAAACTGAAAAATCAAACCAAAAATGTCCTGATGCTCCGTAATCCAGGTAGATGCATCAGATGAGGTTGAGTCAGGTCCTCTGGACGGATTATTTTTGTTGAAACTGTCTGAAGACTGAAAAAGTCTTTTAGATAAAAGGTGAAACGTTTCAACAAAGAAGAATTCGTCAAGAGGGCCCGACTCAACCGTGGACCTGGCGCCAGAGGCGGGGCCGGACCAGCCCATTCAGGTATCCCCACCCCCACCCCTATGACAGATTTCAACACTTATTGTTGAACCTATGCAATGTATTGGCTCAAGACAACCAGCAGAGGGTGCTGTAGGCGATTAAACTGAACTTTTAGAGGTGGTAAAGAAGACAAACTAGTTTTACAACCGCTAATAATATCACAAGAAGAAGGAGAAAAAGGTGAAGAAGACACTTTGATAAGACAATATGATAAGATAATATGATAAGATAATATGATAAGGTAATATAAGATAATATGATAAGGTAATATGATAAGGTAATATGATAAGATAATATGATAAGGTAATATGATAAGGTAATATGATAAGGTAATATGATAATGTAATAAGATAATATGATAAGGTAATATGATAAGATAATATGATAAGGTAATTTGATAAGATAATATGATAAGGTAATATGATAAGATAATATGATAATATAATATGATAAGATAATATGATAAGGTAATATGATAAGGTAATATAAGATAATATGATAAGATAATATGATAAGGTAATATGATAAGATAATATGATAATGTAATATAAGATAATATGATAAGGTAATATGATAATATGATCAGGTAATACGATAA